CTCACAGCCTCTGACCATGCTTCGGCATTATTTGCATTATTTGTGGTAGTCGTGGTAGTAATGGTGGTTGTGGTGGTGTTGTTGTTGCTGTTGATTCTTTTAACATTAGTGTTCTCTAGTTTGGCATTTTGTACTTTACTCTTATGCAAAACATTTTCCGTTTGTGCGAAGCTAACGGGACTTGAGTGTCCGGAGAGCACCTCCGCATAGGATAAGCCTAATTTGGATGGCTTCAATAGCATGGACACAGCCGATGATGTGGTAACAACGGAATGCGGATCCAGCGTGTACGATAAGGCTGCGATCCCATCGTATTTCTGTTGCATGTCATCAATAGATGTACGCAGTGCCTAGCATTGGTTTTAATAAAAAATAAAGGGCGAGATTTGCCAAATTTGTTAGAGGTTTTGTTTCGCATACAAAATTATATGTTGTATATATGTGGTACGAGCCCTCAAACAAACAAACTAAAACACACTAGCTGCTAGCATTTTGCTAAGTACCCTGTATGCCTACCAACAGAATGCAATCAAATTTCGCTACTTAACGCTCTAAGCTAGTGAAATGACTAGTCAAATACGATATGTTTTTTTTTTATAAATTTTAAATTAATATTTTATTTTGAAATCGTTTCAGTTTTGGGGGGTCATGTCATGGTTTATAATAATTTTTGCTTCTGCTCTTAAGTTTACGCTTCTTCATTGTGCATATGTACATATATACGCTTGTGTGTATATATGTATGTGGCGGTTTACAATAATGGTACGGAAACGTGTACAAGTAACAAAAGTTAAGTTATTTTTTTCAGACGCCGAGCCGCTGCGCCTATTTGCCGACACCTTTAAGCCGCCACAGCACGCATTAAACAGTGAGAGCCTGTCGTTGGTGTTGTGGCAGCGCGTGTGCGCGCAAATGTGCGCGCGTTCTGACGTCTGCGGTAGCTTCATTGGCGGTGGCTGCTACTGCGCTATAGTGTTTACATAACTGTATAAATGTATTTGTTGGCTTAAAGTTTACTGTTAAGTACGCATTTGCAAGTATTTTTAAGACTTTCACGGGGCGCGCATACATTTTGTCAAACACTTTTTGTTTATTTTTAAACAATTAGGTACGAAAATTTAAATTAGCTTTAAAATAATTAATGATTTTTCCTATACATTATTAAAATTATAAGTATTTATAGTTAAAAATGTCGTAATGTATGGTATTTAATGTAATTGGTTTTGGTTGTTGTGGTTTTTTGTTTATTCTCTTTAAAATTATGTTTGGATGTTGGTGGAAGTTTGGCCTATGCGCCTAAAACTATGTTTCTAACACAGCATCGTCCGGTGTGCCGCGATGGATCAACAATTTAATGCGCTCATTGCGTGCGGTTATTTTTGAGTGTAGATTCTTAACACGCTCCCGACATGCCTAAATATTATATGTATTTATATATATGTATGTATATACACGCATACAGTTATGAGCACAGTCACGACCACATAGGAGATGTTGTTGGTTGTGTTGTTGTTGGCGCACACATGGATATATGGTCAAGTAAATATATATATATATATATATATATTTGTACAAATGAGTTTTGAGATGAGTTCAAGTGTTTTTTTTGTTTTGTTTTGCGTACCAAACGCATTCGTGAGAGAGAGAGAGAGAGAGCGAGACAGATATACCCATTTACCAGCGGAAGAAGAAGGCAATTTTTGTTTTAAACAATTTTTTTTTAATAAATGCAACAAGTATTTGGCGGCGCAATGTTGTGAGTTCAAGCAACAAGCAGTTAACAGTTATAAATATATTTTTAAATTTTTTACATGTATGAGCATGAGTTAGGGTAAGCGTGGTAAAGGTGAGTAGCACATGGTTGGCATTTTGTATTAGTTTTTTAAGAGCAAATGTAAATTTTTCATAAAATATTTTATAGTTTTTATAAAATTTGGCGCATTTTGCATATTTGAAGCAGAGTTTTAGTAGCATTTATGTATTTTATGTGTGTATGACGGGAGTGTTAGTTAATGAGTTGTTGTTAGGTCAATACCATTACCGTCGCAATTTTACCAGTTTTCGTACCAAATTTCAGTAAGCAACAACACCATTTATTTTATATGTTTTTTTTTTGTTTTTTATGTTTTTTATGTTTTATGTTATATGTTCATGTACGTTTTTTTTTTCATATGTATAAGTTTATATATTTTCATTTCGTTTTTTGTTATAAAATGAGTATGTAAATAAAAGAAAAAAAGAAATACAAAATGTCAAATAATGTTGAAAATTATAAGCTAACAATTTTTTTTCTCTTGTTTTCATAATAATTAATTTGTAATAATAAATGAAAACTATGAAGCATAAAGTTTGGAAGGTAAAATAAATTAAATTACTTATGTGTGAAAGAGAGAGAGAGAGAGCGAGATAAAGAGAGATAAAGAGCTAATTTACTCCCATTTTCCAACCGTACCCAATAAGTGCAGATGAGTTATGAGCATGAACACCCAAATAGCAACTATATATGTATGTATATAATAATAAGTGATCATTAAACAAATCAATTATTAGAAAAATCAAGCTGTAAGAAACCAACTACAGTTTATGTTTTTTTTTTTGTTTTTATTAAGACAAGTACCAGTACCAGTCTTTTGTTTCGCTAAATACAGTTAGGTACTACTCAAACGCTTTTAGTGCGCAAATTCGCTTATGCTAAAGTGAGAAAGGTGCTTAATGAAATGTAAATTGAAAATGAAGAAATGTAGATTTATAAATGGAAAACTAAATACATGAAATAATGTATCAATGTGTGAGTTTTTGCGCATTACTATACTGAGTAGCTGATGTCAGCTGTTTGTGCACTTCTGTACGCGACTGTAGCTTGCTGTGCACTCACAGAAAGCTTACATGTGTCGTTGCGGCCGAAATGTGTAAAAGCTCACTTGAATAAGTTGCTTCGAAAACGAAAGTGCGTGGCAACTGAAAGTTTCAAAATAGCGCCTATTACAAACCGAAAATATTATGTGCGCCTTTAAATTACAAAAAAAAATTATATGAAAAAGTGGCCGTTTTATAAGAATTTATAAAATATTTTTAAATTTGCAACAATTTTGAGCTAGAGTATGTATTATTAGATATTTTAATTACTAGCACTATCAATATTATACTAAATTTTATTGACATTCCTTTCGTGTATAAATTTTCATTTAAAAAAAAAATTTTTTTTTTTTGGTTTTCTAATATAAAAAAAAAATTTTTTTTTTGGTTTTTTTCTCGTTTTTAATTTTTTCTTATTTGTTTTTTATTAATTGTTATTTTTTTTTTTTTTGGATTCTTTAGCGATTGTGTGAATCATGACTTTTCATATTTGTTAAAATTATTAAATTAGAAAAAATTAACTAGTGCGTATATATCTATTTATATTTAAAGCACGAGCCTTCAAGGTGAATACACACATTCGCACGTAACTGTACGTTCGTGTTACTGCGAGACAAGCGGCTAAAAATAAGCGCTATGACGGCAGCCTTTAAGGCATTTCTAAACGCTCACGTTGTAGCTGAACGCTATAGAAGTATATATGTATGCATAAATATGCCACGTGTTATATGTATATAAAAGATATAAACTACTAAAATCACATGGTAAACGTTTTTGTAAAAAAAATATTTTTTTTGATTTTTATGATAAAAGTTTTTGTAAAAAAATCGATTTTTATTAAAAAAGTAGTATTTTGTATAAACCTTAAATAATTGTGTTGGCTGATTGTGACGACAAAGTTGTAGAAAATTTTAAAAATATTTCTTAAGCAGTGTCTTAAATGTTTTTTTTTAATACGAAACCATTCAAATTTTAATTTTTTCATCACAAAATCTCTAGTTTTAAAGATTTTTCTTCAAACAAATTTCTACAACTTTTCAAATGCGACTTGTGAATGCTGGATATGAGTATGAATATGATGGTATATATGATGGCATATATATTGGCATATATGATGGTATATATGATGACATTTATAATGATGGTGATTTATGTACCATATATGGTATAAAATGCTGCTGCACGGTGTTAAAACACAAATGTATGGTGGTGGTGGTGGCATGGCAACAAATACACTCAACCAAAAAACCATTTCAAATACATAAAAATGAAGTAGAGCAGAGTTGAGATGATGCACGATTGCGATGTGTGCATTAAATGTTGAAACTAAGGAAACAAATCAAAACAAAATCATAAAAAAAACAAAAATTTCGTACAAAAATAAAACAAAAACAAAAAAACTGAATATTGAAAAAGGAATAAAAACCAAAAGTACAAATCATAAAACAAACTCAAAACGAGGTATTTGTACACCAAAAAAAAAAATCGAATTGCCAATTTCAAAAACTTCGCAGCCACCGTGCAACTTCTGTAGCATTGAGAAAATGTTGGTACTCAATTTTGTAAAAAAAAAACACAAAAAAATATAAAATAAATAAATATTAATTATAACAACAATGCTGCTAGAGGTTACTCAAAGGGGGGTTTTCAGGGCAGGATGCGTGTGTTAGTCAATTTACAAATACGTTAACAGTCGTCAACAAAAGTTGTACGCTTTGGGGAACCGTTTGTGTTATTGATTAAAAACAGCACCAATATGTATTGCGATTATGATTTCGATGTCAATGGTTAACTGTGCTTTATATACGAGGCCCTCAAACGCTTAGCCAATATAGCAAAGTAGCGTGAGAGCGAGATAGAGGGGCACAGCACAGCTAATACCTAAATGTTGGACTCAAAAACTTTGAAAAAATATTTGTATATACGTATTTTTATTTTTATTTTTGGGGCCCTAAAAATTTCGACTATACCAACTAACAGCGCAGAATAATCCAAATTGTATTCTAGTGATAGCTTAACTAACTCACTGCCTCACAGCTACTAAAAAGTTTCATTTCATATATGCTATATATAGTATATATTTGGTACTAACTAATTTTAATTGTGATAATAAATATAAAAACCTGCCTGTGACGTTTACATACCTGTTGCTCTGCTAATGCACGCTCACGATCGTGTGGCAGATACGTGGGCGCCATAACGAGTCGCAATTGTTGCTCCTCTTGTATGATCTTCTGACGCAATGTTTGCATCTGTTGCTGGTAGATGTCGATCTGGCTGAGCGTCTCTTCCAGACTGGTGGTTTTGGTGCGCACCAATTCCGCCAGTCCGTCCAAGATCTTCAGCAAATCATCGACATTCTCGCTAAGGCGCGGATCGCCACCCATACCATTGCGGAAGTGCACCTATTGCCGAAAAACGTAACAGAAAAGGAAGAGAAGAGAAAGAGAGAGAGAGAGAGAGATCGGCAAATGCGCGCGTGTTACTTACAATTTTCTCAAACAATAACATTCGTTTAATTAACATAACTGTTTACAATTGTAAAATAAATTATGTCAAGGCGTTGCGTCTAATAAAAAGCAACACTCACCTCCAATTTTTCGATAGATAAACGCAGTTTGGTCTTCTGTACATTGATGTCCGCCAGTGTTTTCTCGCAGTAACCCAATTGATCGCGTAGCGGTTTCTTCTTGTGCTGTGGTGAATCCAGCGATTGTTTCGTCTTGTCTATCCAGCCGCGTATGTCCTTGATTTTGCGTTCGCATTGATCCCATTCTTCGCAGGCTTCTTGTAGCAGCGAATTCTGTGCGCGCAGAGTTTTGTGTGGTTGAAAAAGAAGAAAACATTATTATTGTAGGCTTAGGAAGCTGTCAAAATAAAATGTTTCTCCAATACGCCGCGAAATTTCTAACTGAAAATGTTACAAAGAAGTTGTAAACCGTAAATCGTAGCCGCCAAACACAAGTCTTCAGCAAACGCTGCGGGCAACTGAGCACATTCTACTATACTTACATTGACATTTTATTTATATACAAATATAATCGCTTCTTTCTTTTTAAACACCAGCTCTTTCACTTTAACCTACCCTTTCCAGCAACACTGCTTCCACGGAAACCTTCGCATCTTCCGCCTCTTGTAGTTTTTCCTTGAGATCGCCCACAGTCGTCACTTGTCCAATGTGTTCCAGTTCCTTGTCCATTTCGCTCAAATGCTTCACGATCGGTTTAATGCTCTTCACAGCCACTACATAGTCATTGAGTTTGTTGCGCGCTTCGTGCAGTGTACGCAATTCGATTGTCTGATCGATGAAGGTACGTTTCTCCGCTACCCACGCCATCACAATTTGATACAGATTCATAAATCTCGTCCATGCATCTAAACTATCGCCAACTTGTTGTTTCTTCTCATCCAACCACGCACGTACTTGTCCCAATTCCTGTGCCAACTGATCGATCGTCGATTGCACCAGCAATTTTTCATTACTGTTGCGACAATTGTCGATAATCAGCTGTCCATTTGTCTTGACCATTGTGAAACGTTCATAAATGCCGGCTATTTCCTGATTGATACGATGCAGTAGTTCTTTCATTTGTGCGGGTGCGAGTGTACGATCTTGCACTTGTACCTCCGCCTGTCGCAGCCATCTTTGTATTTCATCGACGCCGCTCAGGTATTCGGTGCGTACAGTCTTGGCACGTTTGAATTCTTTCTGTTTGGTTTCCATGGCGCCTTGTACACGCTCGGAGAGCAACTCTAATGCGGTAAACTCCTGTGCTATATCACTTGGTACCAGATTTTGTTTCTGCAAATAGTTTTCCTTGGTTTTGGCAATCAGTTGGGTACTCTCCACAACTGCCTTGCCAACTTGTTGCTGCAAATCGTTCAAAGACTTTTCAATGGCGTCAATATGCTCGTCAAAGGTGTGCACTTCTTGTATCTGCTCGAGTAGGGCGTTGAATTTATCTTGCAACTCTGAGATGCGATGGAAGACCGTTTCGATCTCTTCCAGATCCTTACCAACTTGACGATCCTTCTCGCGTAAGGTGTCGTTTAATCTGCAAAGAAGTTGAGAGAGAGAGAGAGAAGAATTGCAAAATATTATAAAAGAATTGACAGTTTGTTTGATGAAACAAAAGATTTTTTTTGCTGTAAGTTCCGTCGTTGAAACACGTTAGTAGTATGGCAAAGACCACGCGGTCGGCGGCGTTGTTGCGTTAATTCGCTGACAAAAGTAGCCAAAATCACGCCAAATGTGCGCACAAGTCACTGGGGCTTTACACAAAGAAAATTCAAAAGTTTCTCAAATCCTCAGATTTGCGTTTCGCTTTAACAAAAATAATGTTGCGTGTATTTTTAAACGATTGCGGCAATCGAACACTTGAAAAAGTTTATACAATTGTATATATATACATATATATGTAACTATTTAGTATAGTATTATTAGGATTAATAATGCGTCAAAGGTTTCCGTGGAAGAAATGCGACCGCGCTAGTAAAAGAGAATTCTCCAAATGAATGTGGCAAAATATTGTTGGCCTTAAGGCAGCGGCCGCCGACGTAGAGGTCCCGCGCAAAGAAGCGCTAGCCAATTCGAAAACATTTTCGAAAATGGCAGCGTAGCGAACAAAGAGCAGCGAAAGCCAATGTGAGATTGACGGCGCCTTTAAGGGGCTAAGTGGCGATCGTTCACTCGCACAAATTAATGGCCGCCTTTACGCCCAGATGGCCTCTGCCGCACAAGAGAAAAGCCTTCAGGCGGAAATTGACCGTTTTGCCACGAAAACGCACCGATATCTATGCGTTATTTTATGCAAATACTAAACTTTTTCTTGGGCATAGCAATGTGCGCTGCCATTTCGCAGTTTGTTTTGCTATTATTTATACAAATAGCAGAGAAGTGCATTGCAGGCATCGCACACGAATCAAGTAAAATAAATAAATTTGCGAAAAATAATTGCCTGCTTGGCTGCAGTAATTTTTTTCAATGAAAGCAATAACCGCAAGTTCAAGTTGCAGGAGAGTGCCCAGAGCAGAGCGTGAGCGCAAGTGTGCGAAATGTGGAGCGCGCAAGGCGATCGTGTAAAATGCCGGTTATGTGAGCGCACAGCTGAATTTGTTGCAAAAACAAAATGCGTTCATTGTTATCTGCTAGTGGCGCCAGCAAACGCGGCGTTTCGAGTCTTTTATATTTTTTCGCCATTTATTGGCATTTCAAGTAGCGCGTAATAATGTCAAAATACAAACAAAAACAATAACAAAACGGTTTTGCGGCTGTATGAGTTGAGTGTGTGTAATTACGTGGAGATATATTTTAATTTACATATGCATGTGCACGTAAAGGGAAAATTATATCAATTTATTTTATATATGTATTATATTAATAAAAAGTGTAAATAGTTGAACGGAAACTAGCGCCATTTTATTTATAGTTTTTTAATTTTTAATTTTTTCTCTTATTTAATCATTCAATTTTTTTATGTTATTTTTTTATAGTTTTATTCCTTTTTGTGTTTTTTAATTTATTTCTTTATTTTTTTTTTTAATACTTTTATTTTTATTATTAATTTTTTTTTTGTGTTTTTCAATTTAGGTCTTTAATTTTTTTTATGTATAATATTAATTTTTTTTATTTAATAATTTTTTTTTTGTTATTTTTTTTTTTTTAATTTTATTTTTTTAAATTTATTTCTTTATTTTTTTTTAATTTTTTTAATTTTCAATTTAATATTTTTATTATTAATTTTTTTTGTGTTTTTCAATTTAATTCTTTAACTTTTTTTATTTATTAATTATTTTTATTTAATTATTTAAATTCCTTAATTGTTTTTATTTTGTTTTATTTGATTAATTTTTTTTTTTAATTTTTTAATTGTTTTTTTTTTTATTCTTTTTGACATTTTAAGGTATCCGGTATTTGCTGAAATTGTTGCCATGTCAACGCAAATTGTTTTTTATTGCAGACTTTTGTTGTGATTCCTCATTCTTTGCTATTTTAAGCTTATTTATTTATTTATTTTAAGTTCCTACTTTAAGATTTAGCGATGATAAATCGCGGCAGACACGCTGACGTCAGTTGTACCACACCCAGGTCGCGTATACGCAATGTGCACCATGTAGACGCAAATACGAGGTGCACACTTGGCACATAGCACATGCATAAATATATAACAGATGCACGGAAATAATGCAGTGCTTTCACAGGCACATATATATTGTATATGTATAACGCTTTTAGCAGCTATTTACAGCAGCGATCTGTAGACATAAAAATTTATGTAAAATTACAGCGACTGTTTTGCTAGCCACTACTGTAACATTTTGGCATTGAAGCCCTTTAACTTTCGATTTTTAATGTCTAAGATATATAGAGAAAAAATAAATGAATAAATAGTGACAGACTGAGTGGCAGGCGCACATGCGGCTACCGGCGTCGCTATTGCCGGAGATGACGTGCTGAAATAACAGCGTTACACGTTTGTATACATACACACACATATATATATATATATATATATGCAAGTACATTTATAAAATATATATGTAAAGTGGAAACAACGCCAACCCAGCGCTTAACGGCTTTTCACAGAGCTATGCGTATTTGGCCGCACGCCAATGGAGCAGAAACAATTCAAGAAATTCACAAAAATAAAAACATTATTTAAACAAAACTACAAAAAATGTAGTCAGTAGCACAAAAAAATTATACATTTGTATACACAAAAATTCATAAAAAGCACATAAGTTCAAAATTATAAAAATAAATAAATAAAAAAGGGAACAAGAAAACTCGAATGCAAATTCATACAAAAAATAAAGAATAAAAACAAAACAAAAAGGCGTGAGTGCCAAAAATGTTTAAAAATAATGCACGTTTTCAAAATAAATTCGGCGTAATTTTTCGTAAATTTTTACGGCGCTGCCAAGGCAAAGCGAAGCAACTAAATTGCAACACACAAGCAAACTTGAAATTTAATTTTTCCTTTTCCTGTGCTTTCGGCTTTTACTATTGCGTTTAGATATATATGTGCTTGCATGTGTGTGCGTGTGTGTATGTGCACATTTGGTAGCTATATATTATACGGCACCATTTGAAATGTTTGTTTTATTGCTGCATTTGTTCTTGTTTTCTGCATAATTGCTGCTGTTTCGTTTTTTGGAAACTTAGCATAATAATATTTTTTTATGTTTAGTCGTTTTTTTCACATTTTTCCTGTTGCTTAAGATATTTTCAGATTTCACCAACCACTTTTTGACGTATTGTTTGAAATATATTTAAATATTTCTTTGTAATGTTGTGAAAAAATGTTTTAGCGTTGCTGTAAATGTCGGCGCTAATGCGGAAACGCTTAGCAAATGCTTATATATAAATAAGAATAAATTTAAAAAAAGTAATTATTAATTTATGTGTGTGTAAGCAAATGACAGCAGCAAGCGAGGCAATAAAAATTATTTTAAAAAATTTACAAAAATAATAAACTCACATGTATTACAAAGATTATTATAAAATGCAAAATATATTTTTAAAAAATCAATAGTCATTACAAATCAAAATTAATTTATTATAAAAAATTATTAAGAAAAAACTAAAAAGCAAAAACTTTTAAATTAAAAAACAAAAAACGAAAACAAAACATCAATTAAAATGAAGAATACTTTGTTGCAAAAACATATAAAAAATATTGAGAAAATGCAAAACTGAGAAAAAATCTAGTAAAACAAATTAAAAATTAGTTCGAATATATATTGAAAAAATGCAAAAATCAATTTAAAAGTTAATAACGTTGTTTAAAAAATTATAAAAAGCTATTGCAAATATTTCAAAAGTGTTAAAACAAGAAAAATAATAAACAAACAAAAAAAAACATATATAAAAAAATAGTTCAAATAAAAATTACTTTGTTACAAAACACAATAAAATATTGAAAAAATTCAAAAATTTTAATATAAATAATAATAATTAAAATAAAAGTTACTTTCTTCTAATGAATTAAAAGAGTATTGAAAATTAAAAAAAAAAATTTTAAAAACCAAAATATTTAAAATATAATGCAAATTACTTTGTTACAAAAAACAATAACGTATTAAAAAAAAAGTAAAAATTTATAAAAATCATAATAATAATTAAAATTAAAATTACTTTCTTATAAGAAGTTACAAAATATTATAAAAAAGTGCGAAAATTAGTAAAAAAACAAAAAAAAATCAATTAAAATGAAGATTTCTTTGCTACCAAAAATTATAAAAAAATATTGAAAATTTGCAAAAAATATTACAATAAACCAAACAATGAGTACAAATAAAAATTACTTTGTTATAAAAAACTATAAACAATATTGAAAAAATGCAAAAATAATATCAAAAAAATTTACAAAAAATATTGAAATAATGCAAAAATTATTTAAAGCTAAAAATCAATTGAAAAATCAAAATTACTTTGTTACAAAATATTATAAATATGTTAACGAAACGCAAAATAAACGTAAATAGCCGCAAAACTTCATCAAAATCTATTAGTTATGCTTGTTTTTCTATTTGCACTTTTTATCAAGAATTTCCTGATATAATTCTGCTAATGAGCCGGCCGCGCTCATATTTCTGTTTACGTTAAAAAATATACCAGACTAGCATAACAAAATAAATAATTTTATAGAAAAAATTACAATTACATGCATACAGTGTCTAAAAAAGCAGAATTTAGTAAAAAATATGTATAATTTTTACACAACAGTGCTTTCTTCATTAAAAAAGTATGGTCTGACTAATCGCCTGCATTTTTTCGCTCTTCCGGTATACGCAGAAATATTCCAGCTAGCTCTAACACAATGAGCTATAACAAGGAAAACTAGAAATTCTTGAAATCGCCAACAGAAATCAAAAAAATGTTTAATTCAAATAAAAAACTGCGAGCGCGGTCAACGGGCCAGCGTTGACTTACGAATTGACCACAAATTCGATTCAACAACTGTCAAGCGCGTCTCTTCAGGCTTTGGTCACCATTCACTGGCACCGCACAGCAACGTCAGAGTCCACGGTTAATAGTCAACGCGCCGGCCAA